GTCTGTTTGCAGATGCACCCAGTTCAGAGTTTGCCACAGCTCAGCTCCCTTCTGTTGCTCTGGTGGAGGCACCGATATCCTGGCCTGGGTCAGCAATAGTGTGGCCAGCAGGACCAGGGCAATGATTGTCCCTCTGTGCTGGCAATACTGAGGCACCTCCAGTCCTGGGGCAGTTCTGGGCACCTCATGACAAGAAGGACACTGAGGGGCTGGAGCGTGTCCAGGGAAGGGAACAGAGCTGGGAAGGGGCTGGAGCAGCAGCAGCAGCTGAGGGAGCTGGGAAAGGGGCTCAGCCTGGAGAAAAGGAGGCTCAGGGGGCCCTTCTGGCTCTGCACAACTCCCTGACAGGAGGGGACAGCCGGGGGGCTCGGGCTCTGATCCCAGGGAACAGGGACAGGAGGAGAGGGAACAGCCTCAGGCTGGGCCAGGGGAGGGTCAGGTTAAACATCAGGAGAAATTTCTTCACGGAAAGGGTGGTCAGGCATTGGCAGGGGCTGCCCAGGGAGGTGGTGGATGTGTTCCACCATTCCTGGAGGGGTCCAAGGAATGACTGGACATGGCACTCTGTGTTCTGGGCTGGTGGCAAGGTGGGGATGGATCACAGGTTGAACTTGATGATCTTGGAGGTTTTTTCCAACCTCAATGATTCTGTGATGATAAGCACCAAAAGTGTTAAAATTAACTGGATTTTTTGGACTGATTTTTCTTTGATCCTTCTTCCAACAACAGCAGCCAGAGATTCAGGTGACACAAGACTTTGCCCAGACCAAAAAGTCTGTAAGGCCTGTGGAAGAAGTCTGGAAGTTGAAGAAAGAGCTTGAAGATGAGACTCAGCGTCGGCAACAGCTCGAGGCAGAGATTGAAGCCATTCAGAACAACATTGTCCACCTGCAAAACCAGAAGCCCCAAGAAACCGTGGTGAAGAAAGAACTGGTGAAGAAGGTGCCTGACCCCCAGCTGGAGGAGAGCTTCCACAAACTGCAGCAAAACCTGGCAGAGGAGCAGCGCAAGAACCAGGTGCTCCAGGATGAGCTGGAGGCTCTTAAAGTTCGTCTGCGTGTTCTGGAGCATGAGAAGAGGGAAGGAGGGCAGGAGTACATAGTGAAAGAGGTGCTGAGGATTGAACAAGATAAAGCTCAAGCTGCTGAAATCCTCAAGCTCAAAGAGGAACTGGAAGAGCTCAGGAGGCAGGAAGGGACCAGGGAGAGTGAAGTTATCCTCTTACGCCAACAAATTGCTGTGCTGTCCAGCGAGAAAAACAAAGAGCAGGAGAAGGTGACAGAGAAGGAAGTGCTGAAGCTGCAGAACGATCCCCAGCTGGAGATGGAATTCCGGATGTTGCAGGAGACCAAGGAGAGGGAGAGTGCCCTTCGGCAGAAGCACGAGGAAGAGCTCAGCTTCCTCCAGGAAAAGCTCAAGCGTCTGGAGAAGGAACGGGCCATCGCCGAGGGCAAAATCACCGTCAAAGAGGTGCTGAAGGTGGAGAAAGATCTGGTCATTGAGAGGGAGGTGAACGAGCTCCGGCGCCAGTACGAAGATGAGAAGTCCAAGGGCCGTTCCAATGAGAGGGAAAAGGCTGAGCTGCTCAGGAAGATCCAGCTGCTGGAGGAGGAGAACTCCAAGGTGGTTGTTCAGGAGAAAGTGCGTGAGATTGTGCGCCCAGACCCCAAGGCTGAGAATGAAGTTGCCAACCTCCGCTTGGAGCTGGTAGAGCAGGAGAGGAGGTACCGCGGTGGGGACGAACAGCTGAAGAGCTGCCAGAATGAGCTGGCTGCTCTGAAGAACAGAGGGCCCCTGGTAGAAGTCAAAGAAGTCATTAAGGAGGTCATTAAGTACAAGAATGATCCAGAAACCGAAAAGGAGTTACAGCGGCTCCGGGAGGAAATCATAGAGAGGACCGGAGCTATCGAAAGAGCTGACCTGGAGATCTACCAGCTGAAACAAGAGATACAAGCTTTGAAAGACACCAAACCTCAAGTGCAAATGAAGGAAGTTGTTCAAGAAATCCTCCAGTTTCGGGAGGACCCCAAGACTAGAGAGGAGGTAGAGTCGCTGCGAGTGCAGCTGGCAGACGAACAGATGAAGCACATTGACCTGGAGAGGGAGCGGCTTCTCCAAGAAGAAAAAGTAAGACAGAAGGAGGAAGAACTTTCTCAGGTGAAGGAGAAAGTGGTCCAGCAGGAAGTAGTGAAGTATGAGCAGGATCCTGCCTTAAAAGCTGAGGTGAACTCCTTCTCCCAGAGCATCGAGAGCGAGCTGAAGCAGATCGATGGCCTCCGTGAGGAGCTGCGCAAGCTGCAGAGAAGACGCTCCGAGCTGGAGCGGCAGCTGGAGGAGCTGGAGAAGGAGAGACAGGCCCGCAGGGAGGCCGAGCTGGAGGTGCAGAGGCTCAGGATCCGGCTGAATGAGCTGGAAGAACAGGAAAGAGAAACAACAGAACGAGTGACTGTGAAACAGAAAGTGATCCTTCAGCAAGATCCCCAGCAGGAGAAGGAGCATTCCCTCCTCAAGCTGGAGTTAGAAGAAGAGAAGCACCGCAGACAAGTCCTGCAAACCGAACTAGAAGCCCTGAGAAAGAAGCTCCTTTCTTTGGAGAAGATGGAGGTCAAGGAGAAAGTGGTCTTTTCAGAGAGTGTCCAAGTGGACAAAGGAGACACGGAGTACGAGATTCAAAAGCTGAAGAGCAACCTGGAGGAAGAAAGTAGGCGCAAGAGGGAGCTGGATGCAGATATCAACCGCCTGGAAACCAGGCTGTCCGAGGTGGAATTCAACAACTCCAAGTCATCAAAGGAGCTAGACTTGTTAAGGGAGGAAAACCACAAGCTCCACCTCGAGAAACAGAACCTGCTGATGGAAACAAGAAGACTGCAGTCAGAGATTGAACTCACTGCAACAGAAGCTCAGGATTTGAGAAACATGACCCACGTGGACAGTGGAATAAACCTGGACTCCAGGTTCCAAGCTTTGGAAAGAGAGTTAGAGGATCTGAAGCAGTTATCCAGAGAAAAAGATGCAGAGATCGAGCAACTCCAGAATCGCCTGAAGACAGTGGCTATCAAGAGGGAGCAAAGGGAGAACCACCTGAGGCGCTCCATCGTGGTCATTGACCCCGACACAGGGAAAGAGATGTCTCCAGAGGAAGCTCACGTGTTTGGCCTCATTGAATGGAGCCTGTTTGTCAAGCTGAAGAGCCAGGAATGTGACTGGGAGGAGATCTCAATAAAGGGTCCGAACGGGGAATCGTCTGTGATCCTGGACAGGAAGTCTGGCAGGGAGTTCTCCATCGAGGACGCCCTGAAGAGCGGGAGGCTCACCGCGGCCCAGTACGACAGTTACCTCAACAAGGAGATGTCTATCCAGGAGCTGGCAGTCTTGGTGTCCGGAAGCAATTACACAGCGCTCGCTCCACTTTAGAAACTTCACTTCAAGAGCAGCCAGTCGGAGCTGCAGCACCTTGTAGACATCCAGATCACTGCAAAGCCTCGCCCTCCTTCGCGTCTTCCAAACTGCTACAGCCTCTGCCCCGGCCATGCTATGCAGCCACACCGCTTGCTGTCACACACTGCAGAAAACACCACCAGTAGTGGAAAACATCTGCCAAACCTTCTTCCCCTCTTCCTACCAGAAAACAAGAGAAAGCCTTAGGATAGTGAAGTGCCTCAGGTCCAAAGACTCAGCAGAACCTGCAGTTTCCTCAGCTCCTGCTCACGTAGTCACGTACGAAGCCGTGTCGGGAGAGAAGACTGAAGGTCCAGGTGACTCTGAGGTGACCTCAGGAGCTGGTTACATCAACTGCATGTTGGTAAGCCAGTCAGTCCCACCGTGGACACCTGACTCAATGATGGGCTCGTCCTCTGAGAAAACCAGCTCTGTGCAAGCCAAGGTTTCAGTCCAGAATCACCACATCAAGACCCACCACCGCCATTTGTTCACCTCTGTGCCTGTGCTGCTAGGGAAGAGTGAAGGTCTACTTTGGTGGCACCAGCCACTGACCCAGGAGAGGCATTCACACACCCCAGAGGTCAAGGAAAAGGACATGAAGAGATGGCAGAACCACCAGACACAAGGGGCTGTGCACAGCATGCAAGGGAACCCAATGCAGAGGGCCTCCCACAGACAGCTCCTTCCCTCGTGGTTAAAAGCTGTTAGTGCTGGTGTTTTCCTGGATGGAGTTACATGCAGCTACATGTTTCATTTACTTGTGTAAGGGAATGGGGAATAGAGGGGAATTCTATTTATAGTACAAAATAAAAATGCAGTGGTTCCAATCAGAAGGTGTTTGGTCTTTATTAATTATGGCAGCCTCCTCATCTTTGGCAATACAAGAAGTTGCCATTTAGGAGCCAGAATTAAACCACTAGGATTATTCATTTTAGCTGTTGGCTCTTTTCAAAGAGGGAAATTGCTGGAGCAGCGTTTGAGCAGGAACTAATTGGCAGCATTAGATTGGAGTGAATTGCACTAAGGAATGGGACTGACTGCAAGGTGTGGGAGAACACAGGATTACAGTGGGATGGTACCATTCACTTCCTTTTCCCCAAATTTCAGCTAATACCCAAACCCCAGGGAGCTCTGCTGTCCACAAATGCAGTCATCAGCATTCCCTGCTTATCCCTCGTGGCTCTGGGGATGAACACTACTGTTTTACCTTTGTCAGTGAAGGGATCATGGAGGAACACACTGATGCCCTGGGGGTCTGAGCCCCACGTGTCCCTTCCAACAGATGCCAACTTCAAGCACCAGCAGGAGCACAGGGAATGAGAAGAGACATCCTTACCCCTGCAAGAGCTGTAACACAACTGCCATTCACTCACCATGTAGGAGACTTTTAAAGAGTCAATAATTCATTACTCACTCGAGACACAGATGAGCACTCTAGCTGCGAGAGAAATTCTCAGAAACAAAGTCGAGAAACTAGAGGTAAGGAGATGGGGGAAAAAAAGCGTTTTGGAAAGTTTGAAACTATTTATTGAGTTGTTCTGTACAAGATTAACAGTTTTCATACCACCCCCACCATCTTCAGCAAGACAGTGCCAACACACATAAAAAAAAATAGAATAGTAAACTGCAGCTCTTACACCCAAAAGGAACTGCCATCCCCAGGTAAGTGCCATGGGAGCCTATCCCTCCCCATTCCATCCTGGAAGCGCTGCAAGTTGCCTCCCCAAGGCAGAGGTGCCAGCCTGGCTCCCCATCAGCTGCTCTGCGTGGGCCTGCCGTGCTGCCACTCTGCTCCACACCACTCACTCATTCATTATAGCATGTAAAGAAAAAATATCCCACAGAATTTCCACCACATAAACATTTCCCTGAGGCAAGAGGCTTCGCTAAATTCCTAGAAGGAGGGCATTCTGCTCTGGCCGCGCACACCGGGGCTTCCCAGCAGAAGCATTCAAGTGAAAGCAAAGAGGGAGGAGAACCAGTACCTCGAGTCACTCGCTGAGAGCCCCTATCCTGCCAGGTGTCCCAACCTTTCAGCTCCCAGGGGAAGGTGAAGGTGCCAAGCACCCCTCAGGACGAGGCCTTCAACAGGAACCATGCGACATCCGCTGCTCAGAGTCCACTAAGAAATGCTGTGCTTCGTTTTACCACGCGAGTTCTCTTTGGCTCTTTTGCTACAACCTAGGTATTTTCTGTAAACAGACTTGAAATCTGAGCTGTATCCATTAATGTGAAATACAATCAACTCACTGATTCTTGGGCAGTTATGCATCAGTTCAAACTGAAAACAGTCTTTCTCAGATCTTAACAAAAAACAGAGGAAACTAAAGCAGACATTTGCTGGTATCCTGGGGTCAGCATCCTTTCCCAAAGCTCAAGGAGGAAGCTACAAGCTTTTCCTTGGAATACCAGTAAATTCTATGTGGATCAGCACTATCACTGCACAACTGGGATGTGGCTGTGGGGGCCTGAGAGAAGACAGACTGGGCAGAGCAGGAAACCAAACCTCAGAAAGTTCAGGTGGAGCCTCAGCCTGCCCTTAGCCTGAAAGGGGGTGTGCAGGGGGAGTATTTAGGTCTAAAATTAAGAAAAAACGAACAAGAAAAGACACCCCCCAATTGTAGATGGTCCCTGTTCCTGCAGCTGTGCTGAGCACATGATCCTGGTGCAGGTACCATTAAGGAGAGCAGTGGTTTTCTCTGGAATTCATTTGACATGGGACATTGGTTCATCTGGCTCATTCCCTCTGCCCACCAAATTGATCCTAACTCACAACCCTAGGAAAGAATGGCTTTAGGGGAGGGCCTGGAACCCGCCTGCACATACTGGGATGAGAACTAGTGCTCCTGCTGGATTTGGGACTGTGCTCAGTCACCAGGTCACCACTGAAGTCCAGACAGTGCAGCTTTTTTTTCCTTTTTTTTTTTTCTTTCTGATGTGCAACCATAAAAAGCTCTATTAAATAAACCAGAGTACATTTTAAATACAGAATGATTAAAAAAGGGTTGAGGAGCACACAAAATAGGGTTGAAATGTGTGTCACTAGTCCATTCTTGCTCCACCATAAAAGGCACTGGAATTATGTCTTCCGATCCATGTGACATGCTAAGAAGTGTCCCATTCAATCCAATGCATTCAATGGCAATGAGGATAAAACTGAGCAGGAAAAAAAGCATCCCTTTGGAGGGGAAAAAAGTCCAAAAACTCAAAAGAAGTAGAATTCTGAAAGTCGATGATTGAATCTAAAAATGTCTTTAGTCTCTAAAGAGTCTTCTGTCTCCTCCAGAGGGGAACATCAGGTGGTTCCTCAGACTCACCACACAGGAAATGTTAAATCCTCCAATTAAGTGTAGCACAGTTTTATAGTACAATTGGAAAGTTACTCAAATGTCTTCAAGAAAGCACTGGCAGTGCTAGAATTATCCAAGTAAATCCAAAGCAGAAGAAAGAAGCACCTTTCATACCCTCCAGGGGGAGACCAAGAAGGTAACTGGACTTGGAGGTACTTGGCAGCTACAGACACAGGTGGGTGGGAATCCACTGCAGGACCACCTGAGCCTCCCTGCCAGTTCCAGCTTCTGCCAGTGCCAGGGAATGCAGGAAGGGCAGCAGCAATAAAACAGTGCTACAAAAGGCTCCTCTCATCGGGGCATGGCTCAAGGTGGCCCCATGTGTGGGGCTCAGCTCTGAAAGCCTCTGAGCAGACCCCCCAATGAGTTCCTTGTTGCAGTTCAGTCTCTCCAGTTGTCATAAAAAAAAAAGAAATAGAAAAAAAACCAAAAAGAAATCAAAAGACACAGCTGGTATCCAAAGTCCATGACCTGTTCCTCTGGATTTTATCCTATGGGTGCTGGAGCTCCCCTCCTTGCAGGTGTCACAACTTGCGCTGCTGTGCATTGGACCCTTTGCCGTGAAGCTGAGAAGCATCTGAAAGAAAATAAAACCAGCTGGGAAGGGGGTTCAGCACCAGCCTGTGGAGGGTGGGCAGCTGGGACAGCCAGGCCTCTGCACAGAGGGAAAGACCTACTCTTCCTTCCCAGCACCAGGGAATCAGGAAGAAGAGGATGTGCCTGGGGACATCTCTGCACTGGGAGCAGCCCAGCCTCTGAGCAAGGGACAAAGGAAGCACTGAGGGTCCCCTGTGGGCTCTCAGCAGAAGCACCACGGCACAATTCCAGCTGCCAGGGAACTCCTTGGCCTGTGCCCTTCTCTAAATCCACCCTGCCACATCTGCCCCTCCAGGAATCCCAAAATACATGGTGTGGTTGCCTTGCATCTACAGGTGGTTGGAAGTAACCTGTTGTACATTTTTGCCGTTGTAATCACAGAATCACTGAGGTTGGAAAAGACCTCCAAGACCGTGGAGTCCAACCTGTGACCCATCCCCAGCTTGTCCCCAGCCTAGAGCACCGAGTGTCTTGGACACCTCCAGGGATGGAGACTCCAAACCTCTCTGGGCAGCCCCTGCCAATGTCTGATGACCATTTCCATGTAGAAACTCCTCCTGATGTCCAACCTAAACTTCCCCTGGCACAGCTTCAGGCTGTGTCCTCTTGTCCTGTCACTGGTTGTGTGGGAAAAGAGGCCAGCCCCTCACCTACAAACACCTTTCAGGTAGGGCTTTAGGTGCTTTATTAATTATTTTCAAATTATTTAATTAAGTGCTTTTTAAATGAAGGCTTTAGGTGCCCACTGATAGCAGCAGGATCCATAGGAATCTCACCACTAATGGAACAGAAAGGAATGGATGTGGAAAAAGATGAGGAAAAGAGATAATACACAGAAGAGAGAAAAAGGAAGGAAATTCAAGGAAACATAAATTTTCCAGGAGCAATTAAAACTACTTCAGACTGTGATGAACAAATTGGAGTACTGAGATGTGCAGCTAAGCAGCAGTGGCACCCAGCAGTGCAGCAACAGCTTCTCCTCCAGGCCAAGAACAACTCCTTGCATGCAAGAGCTCAGCCCAGCACATCCCACAACCACAGAACCAGCACCACATTCCCAGCCCCAGCACAAGGCACCTCCACCAGCAACAGCAGCACCGACCACACACAGGCAAGCACTGGATGCTCTTTGCTCAGAGGCTTTTGGGTGAAGATGGATGTAAAAGCACTTTTATTTAAGGCATCAACATTCCCTTGCATTTGCAGCAACCTCCCACACACCTTGCAGCATTCAGACACAGCAATGCAGCTGTGGGCAGATGTTGGCACAGCCAAACACAGCTTGTGCCACAAAACACAGGAATTCATTTTAAGGTTATGGGAGTCACTTAAATATCTACTGTGTTCTACAGAACATCAGAACTGGGAATGTTCCAAGAGATGGCAGCACCAGTCTCCTTCTCCAATCTTTAAGTGAAAACACCAAGTGAGAAAGCAGGTCTTTGCTGAAGCTATATCCATAGTTAGTTCTCCTTCACTTATTCCCAGTGGTCCTTTGTCTTCTGGTCCTACATCCTGCTGAAGAGTCCATCAAAAAAAACTCTTCTGTTATAAGCCCTATGAACAATGGTGAGGTGATCACTGAATTCCCTCAACCAAAGGGACAAGGAGCTGCTCCTCAGTGAATATATTCCACAAGCCATGTTCAAGGTACAATCCCTGATCTCATTCCAGGAAGTGATTTACAAACAGGAAGGAAGGGTCTGTCACACCAGTGATCACTGCAAGGACCTATTCAGCTCTACCACACCCACCTCAAACTCCAGCAAAGGAAGCAAACCCAACCAATTCTTTACATTTTCACGAGTGCACAACACACTCTTCTTTATTCAGCAAACAAGCACCGAGCTCAGCAGTCAAGGGTGTTTTATTCCATGACTCCTCCAGGAGGCTATGTGGTTATCCATGCACACAGCCACAGGACCAGGCTAGCACTCCTAAATCAGGCTTACTTAGCCCAGGAAGACCATCCCAACAGGAGCAGGTACTAAGATAATGGCACTGATAAAGTGCTAAAGAACACGCCTGAGAAAGCAGAAATAGGAGTCACCAGGGCAGCTCCCTGAAGCAGGCAAACACAATCTGCTGGCACTGAATTTCAATTTTCCTTACTTCTCTCCTTCTTTGGAAAACTCTTGTTTTATGCATCACTTCTGCAGGCATCAAACTGGGGCAGGAACAGGCTTAACTGCCAAATCCTCACGGTGTGAGGAGCAAGTGGAGCAATCTGCATTTACACTACAAACTTGTCATGAAGGAGATGCTGGCAATTAACTCACTGCATAGACACAAGACAGTCTGGTCTGACACATTTTTTGTAGGTCACCAGGAACAAAACTCCACAGAGCTGGAATATTCATTCCAGGGCAGTCCTGGCAGGCTGTGCACAAAGAGGCACCACTTTCATCCTGGTAGGGTAATTCCAAGTATCTCCAGGAACCAACACTTGCTGTAAGCACTGAGAACTCATCATTTCAGAAATCACAGATTCCCAGAACGGTTTGACTGGAAGGGACCTTAAAGCCAATCCCATTCCACCCCCTGCCATGAGCAGGGACATCTTCCACTATCCCAGGCTGCTCCAAGCCCTGTCCAACCTGGCCTTTCAGGGATCCTTTCAGGGATCCTTTCAGGGATCCTTTCAGGGATCCTTTCAGGGATCCAGGGGCAGCCACAGCTTTTCTGGACAAGCTGTGCCAGGGCCTCCCCACCCTCACAGCCAAGAATTTCTTCCTAATCATGGAATGGTTTGGGTTGGAAGGGACCTTAAAGCCCATCCTGCTCCACCCTCTGCCATGGGCAGGCACACCTTGCACCAGACCAGGTTGCTCCCAGCCCCTCACTCTGTACCTCAGAGAGGCTTTAGTAACAACCACACAGCTGGAAAACATGGATAACCCCTTTGGCTCCAGCCCTGGAGGAAGGATCTGCTGAGATAGAGGGAGACTCAGGAGGCAGAAGGAAAACACAAGCATCTGACAAGTTACCTGGCAAACTCTGTGGTAAATGAGTGGACAGGGCAGAGTGTGGGAGTGGCGCTGCATGGTGGGGGCTGGAGTGCAAACCAGCCAGAAGACCTAGAGAGAAAAACAAAGAGAGGAGAGGGAAAAAAAGGAACAAATACACATCCAAGATAGAAATGAGCAGAGGAGCTGCAGCAGTTAGCAGAAGTTGGGTTCCAGTTATTGGCACTTCTGGGCAAGCTCTAGGGATGTGCCCAAGGTTCTCCAAATGCAACTGCTGGAGATACAAAAGCAGGGACCACAGCATGAAGCAACAGCCAGAGAGATGGGCTGGTGTGCAATGGGCCAGCCCAGCAGATGTTCTAGGTGACAGCACAGGCACAAGTGACACACAGGTGACCAGCAGGATACTCACTGTGCCCGAGGCCGTGGTGGAAAGTTCCTGGAGCAGGTCCCGTAACTATTGCATCCTTGGAAACTCCTGCTTTTGGGGAGGAGTCGGAACTGAAGGAGATGACATGGAGAGGGAAAGAATGAATAGGAGAGATAATACCTAACGGGGTGGAGCTCAGAGCAGCTGGCAGCTTTGGGTTGTTGGACTTGTAGGATGGAGCCAGTACACTTAAGGAGGAAGAACTCGTTAGCAGCACAGCTCCACTAGTTCCTTTCTGCAAAGCAATGGAAAAGGTCAGTCAGGAGAGGGAGAACCAAGGCGCAGCATCGTACTTACAGATCTGCAAAACATGGAATGCTCAAGAGTTTCCCCTTGGAAAAAACACCCTCCCAGCCAGGGCCCAAGAGATGCCAACACTGCAGATGGACATTGGCAAGCCAGCTCTTCTGACTGTGGCCACACCAGATTTGCCTCCATGCTTCCCTTGCTCTGGAATTGTGCCTCCATTAGGCAGAGGAAAAGTTTCCACACTGCCTGTGAGTTCCAGGGATATGCTGCTTATGGCAGCACACACTGCTGGCAACTCCAGGCACTGAGGCCTGACACCCAAGGAACCCCAGGATGTTATTCAGGATCTCTCTCATGGATACAGGCACCACTGGTATCCCAGCTTTCTATCTCAGGAACAGACAAGCTACACAAACTGAGCAGTACATGCTTTCCATTTAAACACACTCCTTGTATTTCCCAGCTCTTTCCATGGGGCACGAAGGAAGGCAGGGATGAGCAGCCAACAACAAATAAATACAACATTAGGAGCTTTTACTTTTTTGCTATAGATAAAAATTAAGCCCCTTTCACCATTAAGTAATACAGTATTTTAGTAACACAAGTCTGTACTGACAACCCAGAAGTCCTCCCTGAAATGTTCTATCCTAACAAATATTGGGAAAATTTCTTCATGGAAGGGGTGGTCAGGCACTGGCACAGCTGCTCAGGGCAGTGGTGGAGTCACCATCCCTGGAAGGATCAAAGAGCTGTGTGGATGTGGCACCTGGGGACATGGTTTAGTGGTGGCCTTGGCAGTGCTGGGGGAATGGCTGGACTCAATGACCTTAGAGGGCTTTTCAAACCTGAATGATTCCATGTTATTTATTCTATGGGCCACTCATGACGAAAGTGGCGATAATACTAAAATTACTTGGAATAATTTGAAGAAGGCTAAGTTTGTAGATCTAATTAATAACAAATTAATCATTATACTTTTAGTTTAACCAATAAATTTTACCTCTTGCGATAAATTACCTTACTGCATTTTCTCTAAATCCAAATGGGAGCCCTACTGTCCCCTTAACTTGCAGAGCCAGGGCAGCACCATAGCATAGCCTGGGCAAAAACTGCCCTTTGGAAGGCAGCACAGTATTCAGCTTAGTGGTTATTAAAGCTGAAAATGAAAGCTGGAATTCTGGAGGGCAAACCCAGGGCAAAGGCCACAACCTTCTAGTCTAAAGCAGCTAAAATCCAGACAGTCATTCAAGAACTTCAGCAACTGCTTTTGAAGTGTCCTCTTTAGGGCAGTTGTGAAGAAGACAGGAGCTCCCAGCACTGCCCCCTTACCGGCACAGAGGTAGAGGCTGTGGTGCTGCTGACCACAGCTGGCTTTAGGGACGAGGTCAGCAACTTGGCCACCCCCTGGGTGCCCCCACTGGAATCTCCATTGGAGCCCCCAGGAGGTGCCACCAGGGTCAGCTTCTGGGAAACGGGAGTTTTCTTCACGGAGGAGCCGGAGGCCGGGCGGCTGGAGGCTGAGCCCGGGGAAGGGGCCGGAACGTTGGGCAGCAAAGTCCCAGAGGAACTGCCCTGGTTGGCAGAAGCTCCAGAGGAGGAGCTGCTGGAAGAAGCCCCGTGCTTGGAGAGGGACCCAGCGACGAAAGGCGATTTGTAAGATTGTCCTGAAGAGCCGGAGCCACTCGAGTGCTTCCCGGCGTAGCTCAGAGATGATGAGGACAAGCCTTGGCTCTTGTGGGAGCTGCTGGAGTTTTGGGTGCTGCTTGGGGACGTGGAGGAATGGAAGCTCTGAGCTTTGGTTGATGACTTGACCTGCTGGAGGAGGGAGCGCTGGGGCAGAGGGGTGGAGGACTTGGGATTCTGCAGTTTGACAAAGGCAGCTGGGGAGGTGAAGGTTTTCTGGAGCTGAGCACCAGGGTGGAACACCTTCACCTGAGAGCCCGGCACCGGCGTCGAGGCCGGCGGCCCGTGGCCAGGCCTGACCAGGCTGTGGTGCTTCTGTTTAGCCTGGTGGGTGTCAGGAAGGATTTTGCTGGGGGAGGCTTGGCAGGAATGCTCTTTGTAATTAGAGTTCTCTGTCTTCTTGTCTTGAGAAGACTGGCCCAAAGCCAGGGCCTGCTCAGCTAGGAAGTTTAGAGGAGACTGGAGGGAACCAGAGGATGATGTAGGGGAAGGGTTGGGCTTTGGAAATGTCCTCTTCTCCTCTGAGGATGCAAGAGTTGGGATCTTCTCTGGTGGAGCTTTTGGAGCTGCAGGAAGAGTAAAGTCAGGGCTCTCTGCTGCCCTGCTATTTAGCACAGCCAGTTCCTTGGACACAGCTTCCAGGGAAGAGGTGGGGTTGTGAATCAAGTCCTCATCCAAAGAGTCATCCTTGAAGGTGGCAGGAGTGGCAGTGCTGCTGGCAGCTTGGGCTGTCCCAAGGGACAAGAGTTCCCTGGTTTGGGCACTGATGCCTAGGGCTCCTCCCTGGGGCTCTGAGGACAAGGCCAAGGTGCTGCTCGAGTGCAGGGAAGGGACAGACACCGACAGCTTCTTGTCTGGCTTGCAGGAAGAGTCCTGGAACATCACAGGAGAAGACACAGTCAGAAGACAGACAGGGTTTACTGCTGAAAGGGGTGGGAAGGTTCACAATTTGTGGGTAAAAGGCAGGATACACATCATCTGTGCCCATGAGCCCCCACTTCCCTCCCAACTGCCACTGCCATCAATTTTAGCTGCTGTTCCAGTTGTTTTTCTAAGCCAAATACCGAGCAGAGCCATTTCACAGTAGCTGATGTACACATACAAAGCTCCAACACAGGGTTCAGGATGGCAGTCACTTGACTTTCGGCACATACCAACCAAGAGAACCAGAAAACAGAACTCACCTTCACTTTCACCTTAGTAGGAGCTATAACTTTCTTCTTCGACCTGTTTGGAAGAAGACAAGAGAAACATGGCTCAGTGACTGCCCCAGGGAAGGAGCCAGCTAGGGAGCACACCTGGCCCCTGTTAGTGATGATCTTTGCAGGGAACAGAGGCAGCATCTCAGGTTGCTAGGATTCAAAAGCACATGACATTTGGTTGCTGCTCTTGGAAGCCCCAACTGCCACACAGGGAGAGGATCAGGAAGTGGAGCAGAGTCTTGGAATGGCAGCAGAGCAGTGAAACTCCCACACACACATCCTGCATCAGCTGCAGGACCCCACTGCTGCCCTCCTACAGCAATGCCCAGAGAGAAACTGGCACAGAGACTGTTCTGCAGAAGTTACACCTTCCTTCTGTGTTCCCAGAAGAAGCTGAGGATGCAAAAACATCTGCCAAACTCCCAGAGAATAGATCTGGTCAGATGCAATCTCTGGTACAAGACGTCCTGGAGCTGCTGGGTGGTGTGGCTGAGGGAAGGACGACTCTGCACCCTATTCCACTTCTCCTCACTCATGCAGTGCCAAGAACAGGACTGTCTGCCAAACTGACACCAGCCTAAATCCGTGTCCTCATCTATTATCAACCACCAGCAAGATCCATGAGACCCTTTGGGTTAAAGCCCCTGTCCAGCTGGATTCTGACGGCTGCCAACACCAGCCTGGTGCACCCACCTTCACTAGTCTGAGCTGATTGTGACCCTCCTTGAACCAGGCAACAAGAGGGAATCCAGAATCCAGTAAGGACCAAGTGAACAGCCTGCAGTAATCACACTCCACTTTACCTCCCTGAGCCTCCCAGGCCCAGCACAGAGGCCTGACTCCAGGCTCTTGAACCAGGGGCAACCTGGCTTTAAACTTCTTATTTTTGAGCTTACTGAAGGCTAAAGCACCTCAGGAATGTGTTGGGAGATGTCACACACAAACAGCTGCTCTCCCTACACCTCCCCAAAGGAAGCAGTGCTGATCTATGTGAGGGGAGCCAAGCAAGCTCAGGTGCTCCTGCATGATCCCCCCAGGCCCCAGGGAATGGAGATCACCAGTTTTCACTCCAAAGGAATGCTGTGATACTCACAGGACTGATGTGAGGTGTCCGTGTACACGCCTGCTCTCCTTAAACAGTGTCCTAAGAAGGGAAGAGAGCAATGAGAAGTGATATCCAGCAAGACCCAGTAGAGCAGCTGGGATCACTGGACACAGAGCTGCACAGTACAGCAGGGCACTTAGTGAAACTGAAACCATAGAGAGGAGACAAATATTCAGCCCTATTCCAGGAAGATCATCCTGAGCTGCCCCACACAATTCTCTCTCTGGGGAGCAATGCCTGTAGGCACTGGAAAGGCCATTAAGGCAGTGGTTGGACAATGCCTAAGGAAAAAGCTCTGCTGGCTTAAAAAGCCAACTGGAGAGGCAGGATCATCACTCAGGGCCTTACTGCTGCCAGAGATCATGCAAGAGCTCTTCAGCTTCCAGGGAGAAAGTTCCCTTCCCGTGCCTCTCACACAGCAAGGAAGGAGAGAAGGGTCTGTGCTGCCTTTGTGTCCCCAAGCAAGAGCTGAGGTGACTCTACACATCACAGCCCTTTCTGGAAGGACTGACTGAGCACAGCCAATAGACTCAGCTTCATCCAAAGCCCTGCACTACTGAGGGTAAACCAGAGGCTCCCACAAACATTCTGACCCAAACCAGCTGCCACTCAGCTGCTCTCTCACATGTCAGGGAGGAGTTATAAACATTCCTTCAGTACTGGCACATGGCATGTGATTCCTGGCTGGTATTAACAAGACTTTTGTCATCATTTTTCTCTTAAAAAGCAAGCTTACATTAACCTAACATTCTGTTAATTATCTCTTAGCATTAATGAAGGAAACAGACTCATGGCAGGCCTCTCTAACTCATCCATGCAAGTGCTGCTCTGTCCACCTTCAGGTTCCTCTTACTGATAAACTTCTGGGATCATGATGACAGCAAATCAAGCTGATTTATCCATAAAATAGCTAAGTTTTCCTAGAGCCACCAATCCCTCCCCATGGCTGTCACTCTACCTTCTGCCTTTAAACCAAGTCAGAGAATATTTTGAGGTCGATGGGATCTAGAAAGATCAAGTCCAACTCCAAGTCCCAGCAGGAGAAACCATTGTCCTTGGGCCATTGCAAAGCAACCATGAAATCCATTTTTATTGAGGCATTACTTACTGTACTTAATTCCACTGGAAGTGCCTCCTACACTGAGTCTTGGGTGAACACCCAAATGCCCAACAACAGTTTCACCATCAAACTTGGAGCTGAACATTTTCATTTCCTTTCAATCAAAGAGAAGTTTTTAAAACCTTGCAAGCTGAGATCCTCAGGCTGGGTATATCTTCATTAACTAAGGAGGAACCTTCCCCCACCTCCTAATGCCATCTTTCAGCTCCTGCACCACCACACTGCAACCATTGAGCTTCCTGTGCATATATAACTGCATCAAACAGCCATGGACTTTTCCAAGTGGATCATACTTACTGCTCTTAGGAACTCCTACTACATCTTCCTTTATCCCCCAACACCCAGAAAGCAAATTCAGCAGAGAAGACACCACTGCCCAGCTCGTGAAATGCAGAGACAGATCATGGAACAGCCTGGGTTGGAAGGAACCTTAAAGATTCCAGAAGGAAGACTGCAGAGTTGTCCTTTCATTAAAAGTATTGAGCAAATCAAAGCAGGCCAGAAGATGATGACAGTCCCAGCAGAAGGGCTCTGCCATTTGTGTGGCTCTCTGCCACTGCCAGCTTGAGGCCAGGGATGATGGAAAGTGGGAAAGAGCAGGAAACAGCAGTGAGGGTACAGAAACCACACCAAATTCTACTGACTCTAATAAGCCCCTAAAATTTTTCTACTTTGCCTTCTTTTGGGAATACTCCAAAGAAGACTTCCCAAAATATCTGAAAAATGTATCCTTTGTGATTGTAAAGCGACGTTCTGTAATACAGAGCCAAGAAAGCACAGACTGGTCTGTGGGCCTGACCTCAGTGCCAGTTCTACCTGCCAGTGGCACCTGTCTGACATCAACATGGCACCAGGGCGACTCAGCACTGCCACTTACAGTCCTGGCTGCACTCAGGAATTTGTGAGGTGAAAAGGGACAGAGGGAGAGGGAAGAATATGCTGCAGGGCAGGGCTGCCATTCACAGGGCCCTTAGCTGGCTGGAGAAAGGGACCAACACAAGCCTTGTGAAGCTCAATGAAATCCAGCACCAAGTCCTGGAGCTGGGATGGAACAACCCTGGGCAGCAGCCCTGCAGGAAACCCCTGGGGGTCCTGGGGGGAAAGCTGAAGGGAAGCCACTGCTGCAGAGGTGTCCTGCTGAAAGCAAACTATCCCCTGCTCAGCACCTGGGAGTGATCTGGACACAGATCCAGTTCCAGGGTCCCCACAATACAAGAGAGATGCCAACAAACTGGAGACATCCCAAGGAATAGGGACACATGGCAGCCAAGGAGAGGTGGAGAGAACTGGGTTTGTTCAGCCTGGAAAAGGAGAAGCCCCAGGAAGAGTCTAATGGCAGTTTTCCACTACCTAAAGAGATGTGGGGACAGGACCAAGATGGAGCCAGACCTTTCCCAAAGGTGCACAGTAAAAAACAAAAGTAGGGAATATTCAGTTCAGTGCAGGAAGGGGAATTATTGGAAATAAGGAGAAAAGATTTCATGGAGAGTGATCAAGTACCAGAACAGGAGCCCAGAGATGCTGTGGCAATCTCCATCCTTGGGAATTTCCAGAATTCCACATGCCAAGGCCCTGAGCACTCTGATCTGACTCTGAAGCCAGCCATTCCCTGAGCAAGGGCAGGACTAAACGACCTTCCCAGGTCCCTTGGGACAAGGAATCCCTTGATACTTGCTCACCTGGCCTGCATCCAGCCTTTTGGCCAAAGGGGCTTCACCTCTCCTTCTAGGAAGGTCTTCACGTAATCCTCTAGAGACTGAGCCTTATTCTTGTCAAGGACATAACCATCCAACTTAATCTTCACCAAGTGGCAAAGCAGACCCCTGAGGAACAGGAAGATTTCAGATACAGTTATGCAGATTGACCTTTCCCATTTGGAGATCATTCTCTTTATCCAGGCTGGATAAATACAGCAAGACACACCGGGCTCTTGCTAATACAACCCTGCACTGCCTCCTTAGGAAAGGGGAAGGGAAAGGCACATTCCTGCTCTATGTGCACACACATGGATGCACCAGGAAGAAAAGTCTTGTTACCCCTTGCCAGTGTAATCTCCTGAAACAGCTGAGGTAGCAAGCCAGTGCCAGAGCCACAGGCACCAGCAACAACCACAGAACTGAACCTCGCAGCAAGGAGAAGGCAGGAAGCAAAGCTGGCTCTGTCCTACATGGATCAGCGACACAAACTGATTTGTTCCAGAATAAGAAGAAAAAGAGAGCAGGACTGATTTTCCTTCTACCCTTTGTCATTCTCCCCTGTTCTCCCTTCTCTGTCAGTCCCCCAAATGCCAGGGGCAAGAAAATGCAACAGCTTCAACTACTTCTACAACCAGAACCTGGGCATGTGAAGAGTCTGGGCTGCAGGATGTCAGCAATTCAGCTGAATCCCTTCTGTTCCCAAAGATCTGACTCTCTCTTTTGGACTCTGCACAGAGGCTTCTCAGCACTTCTCTCAGGGTTAGCCTGGGCCTGAAATCAGCTTCAAGGTGAGATGTAATAAATGCAGTAATGGCTTCCATAAACAGCAGCATGTGCCACGAACCTCCAAGCTGACTGTTCCTACAGGTGAGCAGCACTGCTCTGTAAACAAGACACAGACACCAAGATGCTTCACTGCCAACTGCAAAGAATAAGACAGGTCATGAGTTTGCTCAATGTCTTGAGTTATTCAAACCTGATTTCATCATTCCACTGGAATTTCTTCCGTGGGCCCGCGACTCGCTTCCCTCCCTTTTCTTCATCCTCATCATCATCAGAACAAACTCGCTGTTCTTTGTCTTTTTCTTCTTCCAGCATCCTGAAATGGAGACAGAAAACATGGAAATGATTGTCCTGCAGGTTCAAGGGGAGGATTAAGTATCTCTGAACAGCACTGGACAGAGGTATCAATATCAGCAATCAGCCAGAGCTTAGGGTGCAAGCTGAGCTAGGAGCTCAAGGTTAAGAAATCTCCCAATATTTTGTAAGAGATGATGGGACTAATCCAGCCTGACTTTTCCCAGACTACCATGCTCCTAAGGACACACCTGCACATACAAAACCCTTCAGCCAAGCTCTGGTCCCAGCAGTGCTGCTGTAGCTGGCATGGCCACAGACAGCACAAAGAACACACACGGTTTAATTAAGCCAGTCAATGCCCATCAGCAAACTTAGCCTACAAAAGAAAAAGAGGTGGCAAACTTCAGGAGAGCAGGCCACAGGAAGCCTGCTGGGAAAAGCTACAGATGGGGAATGAGCAGATGAGGAGCTTACTTGGAAAACTTGGCCTGAGTATGGGCTTGGCATTCCTCCTGGTACTTGGCCACCTGCTCTGGCATGGCCCTTCCAATGGCTTCCTTCAACTTCTGCAGAGGCTCCTTCAGTCGGCCACCCTGGAGCGAGCACACAACACCCTGAAGCTCCACATGGCTGGGACACCAAAATCCAGTTGGGATGGTGCCCCCAGAGGACACAGCCTGTCTGGGGACAGCAGCCACTGGGGACACACAGGCCTGTGCTGGCCACTTCCCTCACCTGCTCGTAGAGGTAGAGCCTGCGGGCTCGCTTGAGCAGGGTGTCCTTGCTGCAGGGGAAGAAGGCGGCCAGGTGAGCGTAGACCCCCGAGCGTACCTGGCTGCTCAGCTCCCGTGTCTGCAGCTCGATGCTGTGGGGACAAACACAGAGTCAACAGGGACTGTCAGGGACTCCCAGAGCACTCTCAGGGAGTGGGAGGCAGGGAGAGAGGGACAAAGGACAAGGCAAACTGTGTGAAGGTTCTTTGGATTCTACAATCAACAGATTTTATCCCAAGCTATGCTTCGAATCTGGGAGTAACTGGAGAAGGAACAAATGGAAGTCAGCAGTCTCATCTGTTCTGCAGCTCTCCCTGGCAGCTGCATGGAGGAGAGTCAGGCAGTGAAATGAGAAGAGCACACTGGTTATGTCAGATGCTGTGGCACTGGAAGTCGGGACAATACAAAATCAAACTTTATCCCTTGGGTGATCCCTTCCAAGTGAGCAGATGAGAGAGATCAGCGTGTACCAAACCCATCTATGAACTTAAACAGAAATTAGGAGGCTGGCTTTATAAGCCACCTCTCAGTGTCAGAAAGTGTAAAAGATTCATCACCCCCATCATCAAAGTCACAGAATGCTTTGGATTGGAAGAGACCTTAAAGCCCATTCCACCCCCTGCCACGGCAGGGACACCTTCCACTGTCCCAGGCTGCTCCAAACCCCTCCAGCCTTGGACACTTCCAGGGATCCAGGGACAGCCACAGCTTCTCTGGGCACCCTGTGCCAGGGCCTGCCCACCCTCCCAGGGAACAATTCCTTCCCAATATCCCATCCAGCCCTGCCCTCTGGCACTGGGAAGCCATTCCCTGTGTCCTGCCACCCCAGCCTCTTGTCCCAAGTCCCTCTGCAGCTCTCCTGGAGCCCCTTTAGGCCCTGGAAGGGGCTCTGAGGTGTCCCTGGAGCCTTCTCCTCTCCAGGTGAGCACCCCCAGCTCTCCCAGCCTGGCTCCAGAGGGGCTCCAGCCCTTGGGGAATCTCCATGGGCTCCTCTGGACTCTCTCCAGCAGCTCCACGTCCTGCTGCTGTTGGCCCCAGGGCTGGAGGCAGCTCTGCAGGTGGGGTCTCACCTGAGAGGAGCAGAATCCCCCCCTCCTGCTGCCCATACTGGGGCTCAGCCCAGCCCTGGGGGGTTTCTGGGTGCTCACAGGGGGGCATGTCCAGCCTCTCACCCATCAACACCTCAAGTCCTTCTTGTAGGGCTGCTCACATTGAGTTCTTCTCCCAGTCTGTACTCATGTCTGGGTTTGCCCTGACCCAAATTGTACAGCAAATTTGTACAAATCTATCTAAATCTGCTCTGAATAAGGCTGAAGTGATTGGTTTGACACCAGACAAGGACTGTTTGTGCAGCCAGCACTGGAATGCTGGAAGGTGGTAATCAGCCCTGGAAATGAGAGGGAAAGAGAGTCCCAAACCTCCCCTTGGCAGTTCCCTGCAAGTGCCTGGATAAACCTTAATGAAATTAAAGCCTGGGTGTCAGTATTACTGCACTGATCACAAAGCCCTGTGCATTCATCAGCTCTCTCCATGCTCTGGCAGAAGAATGAAACCATTATCTGCAGCTGCCTGAGCAACACTGGAACTCTGCAATTTGGGGCCTCAAAACACAGAGCAGGAATGGAATTCCTCCAGTTTTCCCAGAGAACCAACTGAACACAGCAGCCTTATCCCAGTTATAAACAATTCTACATAGCATGTAAGTTAAGTAGCAAAACATGCCTGACATCTCTCACAGGGAGAGATTTACTGGTCTTGCATCAAGCAAAACTCACAGGTCAAGTGACCAAATTAAGGCACATAAATATCAGGCAGCATCTTGAGAACAGGAGGCCTGGATACATCCCCTCCAACATTCAACCTCATCATATTTCAACTGAAAGCATTTCTAGGAGACTTTCATGTTATCCTGGGCATCTTCTACCTGGAAGACTTGTACAAGGACAACCCCACAATTCCTGCTGAACCTGCTCCTGAATTTACCAAAAATGTTCTGCCTAATGCTCTCTGCTGGCAGCACTTACTCCAGTATGATGTTGTTGATGTCCTGAGTGAAGAATCTCTGCTTGCCTTCTCCCTCAGCAGCTCTGGCAGCCTGGAAGTCAGGACATAACACAAATCATCAGCAGCTCACAGCTGGCACATGCAACCAGGTGTCTTCAAAACCACCACAGAACTACTGCAAAACAAGGCACAGTTTTATTTCATAAGCTCTGTCACAGCAGAAGTGACGTGGTGCCCTGTTCTCTCACTCCTCTCCAGTTCAAGTCCAGCCCTGCCTGAGCTGGTAACACCATGTCCTGCACACCTGGTGACCTTCCCAGTCTGGATTCTCCTCTCCAGATGCACTGGAGTTACCAATCTGGAGCGAAGATTCCTCTGTTTCGTGGGACAAAGGAGGTGGCTTGGTGGCTTCTTTGGCAGACTTGCCATGGGGACAACAACAGCTTCAGGGCATGGTTTTGACTTCTCAGTAGATTGAGGAATATGAGCACAGAGCTTGTCCCTGGACCAGCAAAGCTCATCCTAATCACATCTAAGGAAGGTTGAGGAAACTTATCACCAGGTTTTCTACATCAATCTGGAAACTAAGCCAAGACACCAACAGAGAAGAGTCACAGCCACAGGGGATGTGTTATTCCCAGTCAACACCATGGAAACAAAAAAAAAAAGTCTTGTTCAGGAAGCTTCCTGAGCTATGACTGCAGCTCACAAAGCGCTGCCCAAAAACATCACACCCATGAAAAACATGTCCAGCAGGAAAATAATTCCAAGAGATGAATGAGATAGTAGCAAATTGCCAAAAGCTTTCAGTTTTTTCTGAGTGGGGATATAAACAAAACTGGGATTTGGCACAAGACAGCACAATGAGTTAGTGATTCCTTGCACAGGAAAGGAGACCAGGAGAAGATTTTGAAATCCCATGATTTACCACTCCAAAGTTGAGGCAGGCAAGCAATTAATTTATGCCCAGAGGGTGAACATTCCTCCCTGCTAGCAGCAGGTGGTATCAAAGGAGAAGGCTCAGTGCTAAGGAGAATCCTCAACAGGAAAATTACTTAGGAAGCAAAGGGTTAAAGTCAAAGCAGCTCAAGTAGAAGAGGAAATGCCTGGAAGCTCCATTTAACTAAGGAGATGCTCCCACCTCTGGGATGAAGAGACTTGGCTCTCAGGCAGAGGTACAGCACCTCTTCATTCCCACCTGAGCTCCCAAAGTCCCAACTGATCCAGAGGTTTCAGTTTGTTACTTTTCTTAACATCCACAATCCAGCAACAAGAGACATAGCAGCAGGAAAATCTAAGCAGGAAAATCAGTGGGGACTCTGCTATTAAACTGTTTCACAACACCAGAACAATTAACCTGATATCTTGGAACTTCCAAAATACTCTCCTTTAACTCAGATAGAGTCAGAAACAGCTATTTTGGTGCTTTCTGAAACAGAAACATCCACTAAGAGCCCATAATTTTTATCAGCTGTAGCAATACTTGCTTCAATTCCTCCTCCCTTCCCATCTGCTCACCCCCACTGCACAACTCAGCAGAACAGTTCTCTAACAGCAGCTTATCTTTAGTAACAGGAGTTACTCAGCATCTCTTACTTAAGTAAGAGGCGCTCTAAACTGAGGTGCCCCAAGAGGCAGAACCACCACAGAGCTAGAAGGGCATGTCTATGACTTAAAATCAATGTTTAAAACCACACCAGCAGAAGGAACAAAACCTCCCAGCACTTGTTGGCAGGCTGATGGTGACAGCCCTCACACCACAAAGCTAAAAGCACACTTTGACATGCCAGGAAGGGATCCCTGACCAGCACCCAATGTTTTCCTTCTCCAAAACAGACTGGAGCTTCCCAAAGCACACCACCTGTTGGAGAAGATGTGTGAGTCCCCCAGGAGTCCAGCTGCAGGAAGAGCTACTGGTGAAAATACACAGGATCATCCTTCTAGACATGAATATATTCCACTCCCTAAATGGTACCCCAACAATGAGTGTCAAAAATGGTTAAAGGACTCAAACTGCCAAATTGGTGCAGCTCCAGGCAGATCAGCAAAGGATCTGCCTGTGAATGGAAATGGTTCTAGAAAATGCCCAAGCCCCATCTACAGGGATTTCCAGTATGTAGAAATCTTCTCCCAATGTAGAGCTGTGGCAATGTTTTCCAGCTGCACCCTCTTACTTTACACACAGTGCACCCCTTCACTGCCCTGAACAGCACAGCACATTAAAAATATTATGATGGAACTTGTCCTTGTCATGGTTTTACCCCAGCCTGCAACTCAGCCCCACACAGTTGCTTGCTCCCTCATCCAGGTGGGATGGGGCAGGAAACCACAAGGGTAAAAGTGAGAAAATTCATGGGCTGAGACAAGGCACTGTAACAGGGAAAACAAAAGCCATACAAGCAAAGGAAAACAAGGAATTAATTCCCCACTTCCCATGGACAGGCAGGTGTTCAGCCATCCCCAGGAGAGCAGGGCTCCATCACATGTAACAGGTTGTTCCTCGGGAAAACAAATGCCATCACTCCAAACATTCCCCTCTTCCTTCTTCCCCCAGCTTTATATGGCGAGCATGACCCCCCATGATCTGGGATATCCCTGTTGGGATCAGCTGTCCTGGCTGTGTCCCCTCCCAGCTCCTCGTGTCCCCTCCCAGCTCCTCATGCCCCACAGGCCCCTCTCTGGCAGTGTGGGGTGAGGAGCAGCAAAGACCTTGGCACTGGGTGAGCTCTCCCTGCAAAGCAATAATAAAAATATCCCTGGGTTATCAGCTCTCTTTACAGCACAATTCAAAACAGCCACTGTAGGGAAAATTACCTCCATCCCAGCCCAAACCAGCCCTCCAGCCTCAGTAATTCACATTTCAGTTCATTCATGTCAAACTGACTCTGGACATTACTTCTTGCATCAGGTCCATACTTTGCCAAGAGGGGTAAAGAAGGAATCCTGATCAGGTGTGATCTTGAGTGTTACATCCAGTAAGTAACAAGGTCCAGCACTTGGACATCACTTGACATCTGGGCCTTCAAGAAAGTGACTTAGAGGAAACAGGATGACACAAAGGTGTGATCCCAGTGGATGTGAGAAACTCCCCCACTGGAATGTCCTCTGTCCCTGGGTGCTGCCACACACACCCAGCAGAGCTGTACCCCTCCAGTAACCACCAGCCCCACTGCCCCCAGGAGCTGCTGTACCTGAGCCAGTTCCTTGATGCGTTTCTCCAGTGGGGCTGGGAGCCCTTCTGGGAGGGATGGTGGCTGCTTGAACTCCTGCTCCAAGCCTGTGCCACCAGGGTCGCTGCCATCGTCCACCTCGGGGAAGGGACTGCCCTCCGGGGACTCGCTGAGGAGCCGCTCCAGCTCCAGCTCGCTCAAGGAGTCCATGGCTGTGGCTGCCTGGAGCAGGTCACTGTCACTGGCGTGGCCAAAGAGGGACAGCAGAGGGTCTGCCATGGCCTCTGCCTCCCTTGGGGCTGCAGGGTCTACTGGGGAAGGAGTCACCACTTTCTGCTCTTCATCTTTTTTCTTCTGAGCATCCTTCTCCTTCTGAAACTTTTTCAGCATCTCCTTGACACTGAGAGCTCCAGAGTATTTCTTCTTCTTCTTCTCCTTACTTGCATTTAATGCTGTGAAGCTGCAGACAAAGAGTAGAAGGGGAAAGGGAACTGAATAAAAGATCAAGGAGCAGAGAGGGTCCTTTCCCCCCCCAGTTCACTTCAGGCACAATTCCCTGGAAAGTCTTAGCCCCTTAACCAGTTACACCAGAAAAAGTATTTTACAGCTTCTAAAAGTCCTAAGGTTCTGGCTGCTCATCTTAGATCAGAGAAGGCTGTCCTGACTCACTGCAGAGAGGTGCTGGGGCTTAAACCATCTCCACAGAGCTCTGCTTTCATCTAGCTACATGATATTATTGTTACTCCAGCAAGGAAGGTTGGGAAATGCACAATTAGTACAGAGGAACTGAGGCAGAACAGAGTTAGTGTGGAGCTTTCTGCTGTGTTAAAACCAGGAGAGCAAATTCCTTTCCTTGCTCACTTTGAAGGAATCACACACTGATGATACCACACCAGACACATGGGTTGCTGTTGCCCAAATGCAGATCCATGCAGGAAAAAATCAATTACAAAGAACAGTTAAAGGAAAAAGGAAAAAATTTAGGAGGAAAATGTAGGGAATGAGTGAAAAACAACAGATATAGATACTGAAAGAGACAGTCCAGGCAGACCAAAGCAAAGACAGAGCTACAGCACAAGATGACTCAGAACAAAAAGAAAAAACACTCAATTTTACAGCCCAAAAGCTATAAAGAGCTGAGCACTCATCCAAGAAATACTTTGGCCAGGAGTACAAAGGACTGCCCAGAGAGAGCAGTAACACAGCCTGCCTTGTAACCTCTCCCTCCCTTGCCATCCCGACACTCATACGGCCCCGAGCCCCAGCCCTTCCCACCTGCCTTTCCTCCCACAGCTTCGTCCCAACAGCTCTTATCTTCACTGTCAGTGCCTAAACAGAGTTCCAAAAACACAACACCACAGAGAGCTGTGCCCCTCTGTGCTCACACACTGCTACTGTGGAGCTGTGCTCCTTCTCTGATCATCTCCTGCCTTTCTTTCCCACTTGAGAAGCAACAGAGGATTTCCTGCTGGTGTTTGCAATGTGCATTTGAGCTACCCCACACTGCAACAGGTTCCTACTGCAGCCAGCTGGAACCCTGACACAAGGTGCTGAGTGGCAAGAATTCCCTCCTCCCCTCCTTACCCAGCTTTTGGAAACTTGGACTTCTTTGATTTCTTTTCCTTGTCATAAGAATCATCCTTCTTCTTCTTCTTTATTTTTTCACCCCCATCTTTCAACTTCCGCTTCTGCAGAGGGTTAAAACCGAGTCACAATCAAAGAGTTTCCCACAATATTACCAGCACTCCCAGAGCCACTTTGGGACTTCTCCCAGGAATGTGAAAACACAGGAATAATTAACCCAATCCCCCCACATCCTTCACCACGGTTCTGGCACGTGTTGCCTTCAGCATTTGACAGCATCCCCATAATGCTGTGACTTCCAGGGTGACAGGGAGCTGCTGTCACCTCTGCTCTGGGAGCCAGGCAACCCCACCAGAGCCTTATCCATGCCAGACATGCTTCATGTTACTAAGAAATTCTAGGATACAATGGGATTTCAAGTGCTTATCCCTATTCTGTCCACACCAAGTCATTAATCTGTCCCACTCTGGATACTAAAACACTTTCATGCAGCAAGCTCTGAGCTGTAACAGAGGGAATAACTGAGAAAGCTGCCTTTGCTTACCTTGGGACACTTCTTCTTCTTCTCTTTGACATAGTCATCCTCAGACTCAGAGGCCTGCCGGAACTGCAGCGTTCCTGAGTTGATGTAAAACCCTCCATACTTCGTAGTGAGAGAGGCAGGAACCAGCTCATCATACTGGAAATAACAGAGAACAGTTTATTAGCAATGGGAGCTTGGTTACTTCATTCCATAGCTCAGCTGCTTGGAAGATGCAGTGGGATTCACAGAATCATAAGATATGCTGGGTTGGAAAGGACACCCATGAGGACTGAGTCCAACTCCTGGCCCTGCAGAGACACCCCAACAATCCCAACCTGTGCCTGAGAGCGTTGTCCAAATGCTTCTTGAGCTCACACAGGATTGGAGTTGTGGCTACTTCCCTGAGAAAGCTGTTCCAGTACCAGACAATGCCCACCTAAAGCTCCCTGACTCAGCTCCAGCCATTTCTTCAAGTCCTGTCCCTGGTCATGAGACTGAGGAGATTGTGCTCCCCCAAGAACACACTGGAATGCCTACCAGCATCTCCTGCCATGTAGCTGCCCCAGGAGCTCTCATTCCCTGGCCCTGGCACCTTCCTGGCTCACTCCCAGTCCAGGTTCAGCCTCCCAGGCAGCCACCTTTAGCCACTCTCACACCCCCAGCACTCACAGCTTCCGAGTTGTCGATGAAGGAGTCGGACTCATCATAGCCATACCCCATATCAATCAAATCCTGAATCCGGTCCTTCCTGCGCCTCTTGCCACCCTGAACAAGGAAACATGGACACTGTGATCACTTTTCTTTCCCAGTACCACAGAGACACCCTGACACAGGACAGCAACACTGGCTCCAGAACAGAAAAGCTACAGCAGAACCAAACCAGGGCTGGCTCCCATTACCCTGTACTCCCAGGGTGTGGTAAATCTAGTTTTAAGCTTTGTCATACAGAAATGAAACAGTGCAGCCAAATGAAAAACTGCCAGCCAGACTCCACACTGAACTGGGTCTGCATCCCTTCCACATTCCTGCCAGGGCTCTCTTCCATAGGGCTTGCTCTTCCCTAAGTGCTCCAGTGGGTACAGACTCAGCGCTACAGGCATCAAACACACACAGAGTGTGTCAGGGTGACCCATGGGCCAAATCTGTATCACAAAACAACACACAACTTGCTACCCAGAAGTGCCAAAGGGTATAAAAACCACAGTGTGGTTTCAGTGCCAACCACAGACATAATGCAAAAGGAAGAACAGAAAGGAACAGATAAGACAGATCCATGCAGCAGGGTCCTGAGGGCAGTGGACTCATCACAGCCCCATGCTCTAAGACTTGGCACATTCCATCCACAGCAACAAAGCCTAGAAATTAAGTTTTGCTTAAGGAAATTCAATTTTATCAATTACATTAAGTGATCTGCTGCTCACTTTAGTTCATGTCATTCATGTTAATCTGACTCATCTGATTTAAGAATGAATCTGAACTATTTTTACAGCCCTGAGATAGAAAAAGACCATAAAAACCAGCATGTGGCAGCCAGGATAAAGGACTAGGGGAGAACAGGAACTCGAGAGCCATTAAAAGCACTGCCTGAGAGCTGAACAGCACAGCCCAGACCAAAGAATAACACAATTTAAAGAAGAAACACTTACATATTTTTCTTCAAACTTCCTAGCAAGAGCCTCCACTTTATGCCTTTCCTTTTCCTCATCATTGAAGGGATCAGCCAGATCTTTCTTCTGTAGAAACAAAAGGGTTAAAACCATGCCAGTCAGTGCTGTCACACTGCCACCAAAACCCTATGAATTAAACCCATTCTGACTGGAGCAGCTGGGCAGAAGCTCAGGTAAATCAAGCTTTAGGACAGTGCTGATCAACATCTTCATCAGGGACAGTGGGATCAGGGCACTCTCAGCATGTCTGGAGATGCCTCCCAGCTGTGTGGTGTGGCTGACACACCTGAAGGTGGGAGGCCATCCAGAGGGACCTGGACAGGCTGGAGAGCTGGGACCATGGGAACCTCACCAAAGCCAAATGCTGGTGGAGCACCTGGAACCCAGCAGATCAATCCAGGCTGGGAGACGAAAGGATCCAGAGCAGCCCTATGAGAAGGATTTGAGGTGTTGGTGGGTGACAGCTGGACTTGCCCTGGCCATGAACACCTAAAAACCCCCCAGGGCTGGGCTGAGCCCCAGTGTGGGCAGCAGGAGGGGGAGATTCTGTCCCTCTCAGGTGAGACCCCACCTGCAGAGTTGCCTCCAGCCCTGGGGCCAACAGCAGCAGGACGTGGAGCTGCTGGAGAGAGTCCAGAGGAGGGCATGGAGATTCCCCAAGGGCTGGAGCCCCTCTGGAGCCAGGCTGGGAGAGCTGGGGGTGCTCACCTGGAGAGGAGAAGGCTCCAGGGACACCTCAGAGCCACTTCCAGGGCCTAAAGGGGCTCCAGGAGAGCTGCAGAGGGACTTGGGACAAGGGATGGAGGGACAGGACACAGGGAATGGCTTCCCAGTGCCAGAGGGCAGGGATGGATGGGATATTGGGAAGGAATTGTTCCCTGGGAGGGTGGGCAGGCCCTGGCACAGGGTGCCCAGAGAAGCTGTGGCTGTCCCTGGATCCCTGGAAGCGTCCAGAGCCAGATTAGACAGGGCTTGGAGAAGACTGGGATAGTGGAAGGTGTCCCTGTTTATGGCAGGGGGTGGAATGGGATGAGCTTTAAGGCCCTTTCCAAACTATGCTGGGATTCTGAGAGTGTCTCTGTGGTTTGGGTTCTCCCAGCTAGTTTTGTACCTGCTTCTGCTTCTCCCAACCCTCAAAAAAAAAAAAAAAACCCAAAAATGAAGTGGCATAAAACATCAACTGACTGCTAACAGTCCTGAAGGAAAACAGTAAAAGGAACAGAATCCATCAAGCTTCTTTTCATTGACAATCATTCCTAACTCAAAGTTTAGATGCTACAGGAGTTTTCATTCATGTCTCCTTTGGTGCTCTCTGGAAAACAGCTCCTTATCACTGCCAGCCACCCAGGTATCAAAACTCACTTTAGATCCAGTCATTCAAAACTAAAGGAGCATCACATCCCTCACCTGCCACCAGCACAACATCCTCCCAACACCAAATTCCAGCCAGGACAAAGGAACGATACAGTGTGGCCTGACAACAACTGTGGGTCAGTTCTTCTGCCTGCAGGATGTTCACCCGCCCTCCTCCCACCTTGCAGCACCTCACAGCAAACACAGACCCAACTCTCAAAACAACGATGCTGAGACAGCCTTTGAGACCTTCAGCTACAACACAGGTTCCCACAGGCCCCCAGGGACACTCACCTTGTCACCTGAAGAACCCCCTTTCACTTTCCCTCTGCAGCTCTTGAGGAGATCTGGGTAGAAGAACTCCGGGCAGCGTTTGTGGTCTGGCTCGAAGAGGGTCAGGGTGATCCGCACGGCCGTGGCCGCTGGCTCGGGCTCCGGGGGCTGCTCTCCATCGTCCTTCCGAGACCTTTTCAGGAAGCTGCTGCTCAGTGGGCCATGCAGAGTGGTGAACGAAACCCTGTGGGGCTCTGTCATGGCTATGGCCAAGTCTTAGCAGGCCTCACGGCATCCTTCCCATTGCATTAGGAAAGGTCTGTCAGGCTGCACTGATGGATTTCACCAAGGATAATTGAGGATGCTGGCAGCAGAACAAGTGCTTTGCTTTTGGAGTTTTCTCGGGAATTGACAAAGGGCCGTGCTGCGAGCGCTTGCTGCAATCATTAGAGAGAAGAAAGAAAGAAGTCAATCCTTGTACCAGTCTTCCCTCCAACACTGGAAGTTCCCCGCTATCCCTCCAGTCCATTGCAGATCTCTCTCCTCAGACCACACCGCTCCATCTGTAAGGGCTGAAGGAAATCCAGCTGCCGGGGAAACAAAACCAGCCTGCCAGACTCGCTTTGACGCGGCCCAGGAGCCCTGGGCACAAACACCCGGCTGGGCTGCACCTCCCGGGGCCGAGGCTGCACCTCCCGGGCTGGGGCTGCGCTCCGGCCGCCTGATCTCCCGCTGCACGGAGGCCCGGACACCACCGTCCCTGGGACAGCAGCCCAGGCGGGGGCTGAGCGGGGCCCGGGGTGGTAGCGCGGCCGGAGGGAGCGCGGCCCGCGGGGCTGAGGGGAGGCCCGAGGCCGTGGTGCCGGGGGCGCGCAGGGGCCGCCGGGCCCGCCCGCCCTCACTCACTCACTCACTCACCGCCACCGCTCCCCCTGCGGGCCCGCGCCCGCGTCACGTGGGCGGTGCTGCCCTCGCGCCGGGCCGCGCGCGCCGCGGCCAATCAGCGACCGCTCCGACGGCCACGCCTCGCATCGCAACCAATCAGCAGCCGCCGCCGCGGCCACACCTCGCGGGAACGGCTCGCGGATGGCTGTCCCTCACCACGTGATCGAGGGGGCCAATCACCGCCGCTGGCACCGCCCCGGCCCGCCGGCCCGCGCGCGGCGGCGGGAGGGGCGGCAAGATGGCGGCGGCCCCTGAGGGAGCGGCGGAGGTTCGGCGGGGAACTATCGGAGAGGCTGCCCGCGTCCCCTTCACTCACCGAGCAGCGTTTGGTGGAGCCTCATGGGACTCAATGGCGTGAAGGCTCCAGGAAGCTGCCGCTCGTGTCCCTTAAACAAGCTCAGGTTTCCTCCATGGAATGAAATGAAACTTAGGGAATGTGTGCAACGATAAGGGGCAACAGAGTAATCTAATATATCTAAACAGTGGCTCGTGTGGATAAGGCTGCAGGCCGGTGCTGGAAGACCTTGACTGGAGATGACAAACTCCCATCAGACCCTGAAGGTGCTGGGACCGGCTGGACGGGACACGGTGGATCCAGCCCGGCACTGACAGAGCTGACTGAGGGCATCGTGGGACCTCTCCATTTATTTTCAGGGTCTCTGGAGTCTGGCAGGTCTCTGTTGAGTGGAAGGTGATAAATGTCTCAGTTCTCAAGCAGGCTTAAGGAAGAAGACTCTGAATCCTACAAGCCTGTCACTCCCACTTCAGTGTCTGTTGAAGTCCTGGAGGTTATTTAGGGAGCTGCTGGAAAACCCTTGAGGACAACGCAGTCAGTAGTCACAATCAGTGTGGGTTCATAGGGAGAAGGTCCTGCTTAATCTGCTTAATTCCCATTTGTGAGGAGCTCAGGCACTGATTCCCCAGAGTCACAGAATGCTTCAGGCTGGAAGGGACCACAGTGGCTCAGGCAGGGTCAGCCCAGGGCACAGGGCTGTGTCCAGACTGTTCTGAAATATCTCCAGTAACTCCCTCTTGGCAGCCTGTTCCAGTGTACGTGAAAGTTTTTCGTTGTGTTCATTTGGAATTTCCTGGGCTCAGTCCCTGCCCACTCCTCTGGTGCCACTGCTGGGTCCCTGGAGCAGAGCCTGGGCCCTGCCCTGAGCCCTCCCTGCTCACAGGGACACCCAGGGCTGAGGGCCCCTCTCAGCTGGGGCTCCTCTCCAGGCTGAACAGCCCCAGCTCCCTCAGCCTTTCCTCACAAGGAGATGCTCCAGGCCCTTCAGCATCCACACAGCCTCCACCAGACCTGCTCCAGGAGCTCCATGTCCTTCCTGTCCTGACACAGCATTCCAGATGTGCCTCACAGGCTGAGCAGAGGGGCAGGATCCCCTCCCTCACACACCCCAGGACACCCCACCTTGGCTCCAGGGCTGATCAGGAACAGTCACCGTCACACTCTTCTCCACAGAGCTGCAGCTGCAGCCCCAGCCCAGGCTGGTGCCTGGGGTTGTTCCTCCCCAGATGCAGGACCCTGCTCTGGCCTATGCTGGCTTCCAGAAGGTTCCTCTCTGCCCCTCTCCCATTGTTGAGGTCCCTCTGGAGGGCCACACAACCCTGTGAAGTATCAGCCGCTCCTCCCAGCTCCGTGTCAGTCATCTTTGTGCTGACCAAGGGAAGACAGTAGATGTGGTGGTTTGGGGTTTTAGCAAAGCTTTTGATACCATCTCTAACACTCTGTTGGATAAACTGTCCCTCACACAGCTCCACAAGTACCCCTTTGCATGGGTGAGGCCAGGTCAGGCTCAAAGGGTTACAGCAAATGGGGTCACATCAGGACAGTTCCCAGTGGGGTTATTCAGGGCTCTATTAGAGGGCTGGTGCTCTTGAATGTTTCTATAAATTATCCAGATTCAGGAATTTAACATACATTAAGCAGGTTTGCCAACAACAGTGAATTGGAAGAGGCTGTGGAGTCCCCAAGGGCCCTTACAGGGAGCTGGGCAGTCACAACCTCTGTGAAATTCAACAGCAGCAATGGACTCTGCACCTGGGACAGGGCTGTGCACACAATGCGGGGGATGAGAGGCTGGAGAGCAGCCCAGCAAACAGACCTGGGGCTTGATGGCAACTTCAACAGGAGCAATCAGTGGCAGCCAAAAGAGCTAACTCTGTCCTGGGACACAGGTGGGCTGAGGGAGGGGATTGTCCTGCTCTGCACTGTGGCTGGAGCTCTGTGTTCCCACCAATGGTGCTGGGAGCAAAACTGTGGAGAGAACAGGTCAGAAGCCATTTCCCATCCCATAAAATATTTAACCCTCTTTCGTTTTCAAATACTCTTTCTTTGTGTTTGGCTGACAGCACCAGCTCAGACCTAACTCCTTGGCAAATGCACTGCTTGAAATCCAGGGAAAAGCTCCAGGAGCAGAAACCAGGGTCTGACCTGGGGTTGGCATCCAGCCAAGAGGATGGTGCAGGGCTCTTCCAGTGGTGCCCAGCAACAGGAGGAGCAACAGCCAGAAACTAAAACTCAGGAAGCCCCCCCTCAATATGAGAAAGAATTCCTTTACACTGAGGGTGGCAAAGCATGGGAGCAGGTGCCCAGGGAGAGCTTGGAATCTCCTGCTCTGAAGACAATCCAAACCCACTGGACACATTCCTGTGACAGCTGCTCCTCGTGACCCTGCTCTGACAGGGAACTGAATGATCTCCAGAGGTCCTTTCCAACCCCAACTATTCTGGGATTATGTGGAGCAAAAAGGAGCACAGACCCTGCTGGTTCTGCTGCCATGAGCGTGTGGTGCTGCAGCAGCAGCCTGGTTCCACTGAACAGCACTCCAGCCACTGGTTTGGTGGGAAGCACGAGAGCCCTGCACAGGGCAGAGACAACGGGATCTCTGCTGCCTTCGCCCCCTCCAGCTCTCACACGCAACTGCTGCAGCCAAAACCTCCCCTCCATGCTGCTGCCCAAACCATTTCTGACAAGCACCTGCAGCCTCCTGCCTTCAAGGGCCCCAAGAGGAACAACAGACAGCTTCCACTTTTATTATTACAGTTTAACACAGTCTTGGACAGAGGAGAAGCAGCAGGAACCAACATGCAAAGCAATTCAAAGACCCCAGGGGCTCCAGGAAAACCACCCACAGCTCAGCTCCTGCTCCCAGCAGTGTCTCTGGGGGCTCTTTCCCTCCAGCTGCTGCTCCAGTCGTGCCCCAGAGCAGGAGGAGGTCATGGCAGACACCAAACCTACACACACAGAGAGGAGAGAACTGGCCTGGGATTGTGTCTCGAGGAGTCAGGTCCATTATCTGACTGGAGTTCAGCTGGCTTTGAAACCAGGAGAGCATCTTAAATCTTGTCTGTATTGTCAGGGAGAAGAGGGATCCTTCAGGAAGAGACAATGGCAGGAGATGAAGCTCAGGTATTTGGGCAGAGTTTTCCTGTGTCAGAGCTGGCAGCTCTTAGTGCCACCAGCTCTTCTCAATGCATCTGTTAAACAATAAATGTGGCCTTCCTCCCACTCGCCTCACACCTCGGTCTTCACCAGTGTCTTCTCCTGCAGCCCTGCTGCAGCCAGACTCCAAGTTCAGCCAAGTGGACAAGCTCCAGGAACAACTGGGATCTGTCAGGCATTTAGAGCTGGACACAGGTGCCTGGAGAAGGCCCAAGGCAGGAGGAGCCTTGGCTGAGGCAGCTGTCCAGCCCCACTCACTGGAGGGAGACCTCCCACCCTGCCCCACCACCCTGGGGCCAGCATGGAGCACGAGTGGGGGTGACTTTACTCTGCTCCCCAAGAGCTGCCCTCACTCCCCAGCACCTACAAAGCTGAGGACCCAGAGGGACAGGCTTTTAGGGCACAGGTCAAACTCATCTTGCACACAGGAAAGCCTTGGGGATCTTGTTGCCTTGGTTTAACTGTGTCCCTGTTCCATGGCAGGATTCCATGTCACTGTCCCTGTCCTTACGCTCTGGTGAGGCTGCACAGGGTGCTCAGACACAGCACAACTCTGAGGAGCTGGTGGCACAGGGACAGCTCACAGGTGGTGTCCAGCCCATGACAAACTGGTTTCCAGCTACCATCCCAGCAGGAAAGCTTTACTGCAAGCTCTCAAGGGGACAAGGAAGATCTTGGGACCTGCCAGAGCTCAATGCCAGGACTCCACAGCCTGTGCTGTGCACAGGAGAGAACTAAATACTCCCCTAAATAGTCATTCCTGAGCCCCAGATCCACAAATCCTTCCCTGCCTCCTTCTCCCCCTTCTATTTCTGTGTCTGCCCCAGTGCTGCTGCTTCACATCAGTGATCACGGAGGGACAGTCTGTGACAGGCTGGGCCAGGGCCATGCAGCCCCAGAGAAGCAGAGCAGACCTGGAGGAGATGCTTCCTACTCCCAGCAGCCACAGCTCAGGAGCCAGAGCCTGAGAAATTGTGCATTTAGCAGCATTTGGAGAATCTTCCTTCCATGGATTCACTCATCATGTCTGAAACTGGGTGAGCTTGTGCCAGCCCCAGCACACAGGGCTCCCACCAAGGGAGAGAGAATTGTCCCACCCTTCACTCCTTGTCTTGGAATGAATTCCAAAATTAGAATTTGCTCCATTATCCTACAGCAGCCCGATTATTTAAAAGCCTTTGGTGAAAAGCCTAGAAATGCAGGTAAATTGTCAAGCCCATCACCTTGTGACCAGCACCTCTCCCAGCAGCAAGGAAAACACATTCTCCTGCTCCAGGCAGGGATCAGAACACCCAGGAATGGGCAAAAAGCCCAAGTTTTACTTCAATGAATCAGCTTGAGCAACTTGGGATTTAAGATGCTGCAGCAAACAGAGCAACAA